TATACACTACTATACACTACACGTTGCACTACACTGTACACTACACACCACTATATGCTACACTATAGACTACTACACACTACACTATACACTATACACGCCACTATACACTACACTAATATACACTACACTATACTCTACACTACTATCCACTACACTATACACTACACTACTCTACACTATACTCTACACTACTATAACTACACTTTTCTACACTACACTATACTCTACACTACTATACACTAGACTACTAAACACTACACTATACTCTACACAGAATCGCCGGATCCCCGGATCCGAAATGTCACCGGCGGAGAAAGCCGCGGCTATTGCGAGCGCGTGGATGCCGGTGAAACTCACGCGCCCGCTACCTTTCCCATCTGGCCTCCAAGCCAATGCCGTGACCTCACCGCCCGTGGAGCCATGCGGTGGCACGCCCCAGATCTTACGGCAGTTGCCGAGCCGATACAGCAGCACCTGACCACACAAAGACAAAGATCCCCCACGTAGCCTGTGACAGACTGTAGGGGCAAGTGCTGTTTGCGAGCAGCACCTATGAAGGCCGGCACGGCACACGAGGGGGTGGGTGGCCAGCACCACCACGCCCGGCCGTCTCTGGTGTGGACCAATCAGTTTCAAAGGCAATGCATCATCATCATCATCATGTACTACCAGAGCACGTGTGTGAGTGTGACTTCATGTCCACCATAAGTACTGCATGCCGTTAATGTGGTACATGACTCTTTGCAAGATGTTTCTTTTTGGTGCTTTAATATCTTAACACAACTCCTGTGTTTTATTTGCCAGAAAGGGTCAAACCTATTATTATTATTATGTTTTGATACCGGCAAGGGATGTCCCATGATAAGACAGCATGCCTGGATGTCTAATGTTGAACTGCTTTCACACCGTATGTAGCCAAATCAGAGGTGCGGAGGAAAGACAACAACACTTAACTCAAAAAGCAGTTGTAAAGAAATTCGTTTTCAATCTAAAGAAATAAGTTTTCAATAAAATAAAATGTTTTCAATCTAAAAAAATATGTTTTCAATCTAAAGAAATAAGTATTCAATCTAAAGAAATTCGTTTTCAATCTAAAAAAATGTTTTCAATCTAAAGAAATTCGTTTTCAATCTAAAGAAATTAGTTTTCAATCTAAAAAAAGATGTTTTCAAACTAAAGAAATTACTTTTCCAACTAAAAAAATGTTTTCAATCTAAAGAAATAAGTTTTCAATCTAAAGAAATTAGTTTACAATCTAGAAAAATTTGTTTTCAAACTAAAGAAATTCGTTTTCAATGTAAAAAAATTCGTTTTTAACCTTAAGGGAGGCTTCACAAGCACACACGCTGATGACGATGCTGCCGATGTGTCTAATGCCCCACCTCGCCAGAGCTGCTGGCCATGGCGATCAGATCGCGGTTGGGGGACCAGCACATTTGCAACACCTCCGTTTTCAGCCGCTTCTCGGCCACCTTGCGAAAGGGCGGCATGATGCCTCCTCACCTGTGGGTGGAAACCAAACAGGTGGACAACGATACTTGGTTTTTTACCCTTCCATCTGGCAACAAAACTGACACCTTTTTTACGAGGAGTCATGTTTGCATAGACCACAATACCTGCAGTCATAAGGCAAACAAAAACATAACTCTGATAATGTATGCACTCATCTTCTTGGTTCTTTCGGTAAAGTCACGTAGAAGGGAAATAATAAAATAATAAAAATAAAACATAATAAAATAATTCTCACGACGTTTCGGTCACAACGCAAGCAGCTGTCCTCAGGTGAAGACCAGGTCTGTCGGGAAGACAGCGTCTGAATGAAACACCACCAGGCTTGGCAGCGTATATTTAAGCTGGGTTGGAGGGGGAAGAGCGCCTTGACAAATGAAGACACCACACGATTGTCAACGACGCGAGTACAGCAATAAGATAAATAAACGTCTCTTAGTGATCACCGACCGACAGAGAGGCGTGGCCGATGCCGTGGCCTGGCGGTAGCACGATGGCCGTCAGTCGCAGAGGTTCACGGTTCAAATCAAGCGGCCGCCCCGGTTATTGTTGCTAGTTGACGAACCGACACGTGCCAATTTGCTTCACAGAGGCAGTCAAGGATCCTGCGGAGTCTTTCGTAGGATTCAGGCCACTGTGTGCTGGCGGCATGCTCCAAAATGTGAAATATTATCGGCAAAATAACTCAGTTGGAAAATACGGAGCATTTACCAGCTCCTGCAGAAAATTAATGTTGGCATGAATGTTGGACCTCAGTGACACGCACGACAAGAAACATTACAGTTGGTAAAGTACAGTCTAACAATCCGCGCCCTTAATCCAGCAGTGGATAAACAACGATGATTGTGATTTGATATCACCGCCAAAATGCGCTATTGTTACCATCGTGCCCAGTGACCGGTTACACATCTTGACTTGCAATCGCAAAGTTTTGTGTTCAAATTCTGCTTTGGGGGGGGTCAACTCGGCCAATCGGTTCCCCAATGTAGATGTGGATGGGCTGCAGTGGTTATTGGCACGGAAATCCTGGCCTTGTCATAGGAATGTGGAATTTTAATCTTGATATGGGGACACAATTTTCACTTTTTAATGCAAAAAAGTGCAATTTTTTTAAAGATATATTTCATTTAAAAACGTCTACATTGTTTCCATAAAAAAAACTGTACTGCACTTCTAGCAAAGGACCACATAATGCAGAAGCCATGTATCCAATATTCCAATATAACCTAGTATCCAGCTCCAAAAAATACAACGCTGTACACCATAATATAAACTCAAAACCTCAACACATTGACTGAAATGTCGTACTCACATTACAGGTGTACTAGCGTAGTGCTTTGCTATACTAACCGTAAATACTTTCATAGTTATCATGATACACGCGGTGACGACACGCTTACTACGCGCAACAGTGAGGAACAGGTTGATTTGGGTCAGATCGTAGAGATGTGTCGTGAAACCCGCCACCACCCAGCAGCCAATTAGGAAGGTTTGTCACGTGAACAGAACGTGCCAATAGCAGCACGCCGGTTGTGTATTGGAGAGAGACGGTAAATGTCGTGGATTTGGTCACCAAAACGAACAGGCATATTCTGTAGTGTATAGTGTAGTGTGTAGTTGTGTAGTGTAGTGTATAGTGTACACTATACACCAGTTTCTAGTACTGCACTAGTGTATAGTGTACACTATACACTACACTACTATACACTACACTATACATACACTATACACTACTATACACTACACTATCCACTATAGTGTACACTATAAACTAGTTTCTAGTACAGCACTAACCGGTGTGTTGGAGAGTAAATCCACAACATTTACAATTATAGTGTAGTTTGTATACTACTGTGTATAGTGTAGTTTGTATACTACACTATACACACTACACAATACAAAACATTATGCACTGCACTACTATACACTAAACTATACACTACTATACACTACTATACACTGAACGAAACACTATACTACTATACACCACTATACACTCCACTACCATACACTGCACTACTATAAACTACACTATACACTACACTATACACTACTATACACTACATTACTATACACTACACTATACACTACACTATACTATACACTACTCTATACACGACACTATACACTATACTACTATACACTATACTACTATACACTACACTATACTCTACACTACTATACACTAAACTATACACTACTATATACTACACTACTATACACTACACTATACACTACTATATACTACACTACTATACACTACACTATACACTACACTACTATAGGCCTCACGCGACGCATCGCTTAGACCCCCCAACTATCCTACAAAGCGGGCGGGGGTCGTGGGGGGGGGAGCAGCCCAGGAATCTAGTCGAGGACGGCAACACTCCGCGGGACTAGGCCTGACCACGGCACTTTTCGACTCACGGGCGAAACGCTGCGTAGACGTCTGTGGCGGCGCGGTGGGGGTGGGGGTCTTGAGGTATTGAGGCTACAGACGAAACTATTGCCTCGTGTGGGGTGGAGGAGCTCGCTCTGTTCCGACGTTTCGGGCACGGGCACCACGCACAGCCGAGATGACGTGGGGCCCGTAGCAGGGCGCGTTTAGAAAACGTAGAGCGGATAGGCGAGCACGTGGGAGCGAGAGGCGCAGATTCCATAGAGCTGATAAGCAAGGCCCATAGACTCAACGCTGCCCATATAAAGGTGTCAGTTGTGTACCAGTTTAAAGGGTAAAACCTACTACTACTGCCCATAGTATCGCTGCAGTAGCCATGGAGTTGACGTTGGGGGGGGGGGGGCAAATCTTCCAGGGGGTGGGGGGGGGGGTACCTCCTCCCAGAAAAAAAAATCTAAATTTGAAAACGAATTTCCTGCCTAAAATATTAAAACATTCACTAACACATGAGATGGACTTTGTATTTATTTTATTACAATAATGTCTAATAGTGTATTGTATTACACTGCTCTGCTGTTTTCTTTTTTACCTTTTCTTGTCTCGTTGTATGTAATGTCAGAGATTAGGGATTCATAAAGTACAACCACAATCATATAAACATACATCGATGCGTCGTTATATGAAGACAAGTCCAGATATTGTGGCCTAGGTTTAGCTAATTTTTGTTTTAATTTACACAGCATTGCAACTTTAATTTGTTTAAATATTTTTTATAGCATTATATTTGGGGCGGGGACATTGTGAGCATATTTGATTATTGGGAGACATCCCCCACACACACCTCACCTTCACCCCCACTAACCCCTCACCCACCCTAACCCCCACTAACCCCTCACCCTCCCCCCACTAACCCCTCCCCATAACCCCCCAAACCCCTTCCCCTCCCCCCCCACACACCCCTCCCCCTAACCCCCACACACCCCTCCCCCCCACACACCCCTCCCCCCCACACACCCCTCCCCATAACCCCCACTAACCCCTCCGCGCACACGCAGACGGACGGACAGACAGACACAACAAGTAGTTTATAGGTAAGAAGTCACTTTTATTTCCATCCAAGTGATTTCACAGCAACAAACAAGAACATCGACACGAGACAAAACACCTGGCGCACGACAGGGTAGCGCCCTGCGAGTGCACGTGCGTGTGACGATGCCACAGAGCGGTGATGTTGGCGCCCAGCAAGCTGCGTGTGTCTGTGGAACGTCGCCGGCTCAGACTGAGAGTTTGCTGCGAGCTCTGGAGACAGCTGTGGGTAGCAGCTGTGTAGCAGCTGTGTGTAGCAGCTGTGGGCTTGTCGGAGCAGCAAGCCCGAACTTGGGGGCTGTACCAGACGAAAGCTGCCGACTTCTTTGCAATGAAACTCATTTCAACGCGTCTCTTCTGCTGCTGCTGCTGCCACTCTTCTAAGATCGGCGGCTCGTCCTGGAGATTCCTCATTGCTGGATCAGCTGTGCACACGTCATGACGTCAGAGCTCAGCGTGGGAGAGTTTGTGCCGCTTCACACAAACGGGTGAGTCTTTGGCTTTGTGATCAAGAGCTGAAACTATGATAAGTGTTTTTTTACCCTTCTATCTGGCAACAAAAGTGACACCTTTTTTACAAGGAGTCATGTTTGCATAGACCACAATACCTGCAGTCATAATGCAAACAAAAGAACATAACTCTGATAATATATGCACTGTCCTTGAAGTTGATTGGTCCACACCCGAGACAACTTTCCTTAGAGCCTAGTCTCACATGGTGTTGGACCAGATGATGTCAAAAGGTGCACAACTCAAAGACAACGCACCATCAGAGTATGAGAGCTCGGGGTTAAGCATTTACACCATTGGAACCTCATTTGACAGTAAAAATATGATAAGTGGTTTTTTACCCTTCTATCTGGCAACAAAAAAAGGTGTCCGTTTTGTAGGCAGATAGAAGGGTAAAAAAACACTTATATTTTTACTGGCAAATGAGGTTCCAATGGTGTAGACCACTAGCACCAAACGGGTGAATCTTCGGCTTTGTGTTCAAGAGCTGAAACTGGTCGCGGAGACTTAGAACGTCGGGACAGACGCGCCACACGTTTGTGACGGCTGCTTGCGTTGTGGTCGAAACATGAGAATAATTTTATTATGTTTTATTTTTATTATTTAATTAAATTTTATTATGTTTTATTTTTATTATTTTATTATGTTTTATTGTTTTATTTTTATTATTTTATTATGTTTTATGTTTATTATTTTATTATGTTTAATTTATATTATTTTATTATGTTTAATTTTTATTATTTTATTATGTTTAATTTTTATTATTTTATGTTTTATTTTTATTATTTTAAAATTGTATTTTATTACGTTTTATTTTTATTATTTTAAAATTGTATTTTATTAAGTTTTATTTTTATTATTTTATTACTTCCCTTCTACGTGATGACTTTACCGAAAGAACCAAGAAGATGAATCCCTGCAGTCACGAAAGCTTTAAATCGAGATGCCTAATCATAGTCGCCAACTCGTCGCGTTGTCTACTCGGTCGTGAACCCTCCCGTAGCGGCGTCGTCCGTGACCGGGTTACGGTACCGTCTCTGCCTCCCCCTCTACTCCAGCTCACGACGTGGCGGCGGCGGCGGTGGCTCTCATGTCTGTCGGTGGCTCCGAGCTCGCGCCCCGTAGAGTAAGTCCCAGTCCCATAGCGGAGCGGGGGCCCAACGCTCGCCATGGAAACCTGCGCCGAGTCGGTCTTCACTTTCGTGGTGCCGCACTCCGGAGAGATGCAATTGTGTCTATCATGAAACTCGTTTAGTGCACTTACAACTGACTGCCAATCCACCTCCACCACCAATACCTACACCACCACCACCACCACCTCCACCAACACCTACACCACCACCTCCAACACCACCATCTCCACCACCAACACCACCACCAATACCTACACCACCACCACCTCCATCACCACCACCTCCAACACCACCACCTCCACCACCAACACCACCACCAATACCTACACCTCCTCCTCCACCACCAATACCTACACTACCACCACCTCCACCACCTCCTCCACCACCACCACCACTACCACCACCTCCACTACCACCACCTACACCACCACCACCTCCACCACCACCAATACCTACACCACCACCACTACCACCACCTCCACCACCACTACCACCACCTCCACCACCAATACCTACACCACCACCACTACCACCATCTCCACCACCAATACCTACACTACCACCACCTCCACCACCACTACCACCACCACCACCACCTCCACCACCTCCAATACCTCCACCACCAATACCTACACCACCACCACCTCCACTACCACCACCAATACCTACACTACCACCACCTCCACCACCACTACCACCACCTCCACCACCAAACCACCAATACCTACACCACCACCTCCACCATCAATACCTCCACCACCACTACCACCACCACCACCTCCACCACCAATACCTCCACCACCAATACCTACACTACCACCACCTCCACCACCACCACCTCCACCACCACCACCACTGTACCTGCATCTCCGCCTCTTCGCAGGTCAACTCCCTGCTCGCCCTCCGTGTCCGCCGTGTGAGCCAGACGGAGGTGAACGAGGTGACGGCGATCAGCAGAAGAAATCCGGCGGCGCAATAAACGCCGCACATCGTCAAGGAAGCGGCCGGGCGGGTCTCCACTGTCACAGGGAGAGTGTGAAACATCGCTGACACGCGGGAGGACACACACGGAGCTCACGCTACTGACGGGGTCACTCTGTCACAGTTAACGTCTACCTGGCCCCCGTGATGATGATGATGATGACAGAGAGAGAGAGAGACGCAAACTCTAAATATGCATCAGCAGGCATCATCAGGGTCGGGATCGAACCCACGACTTCCCGCGTACCAGGCGAGGTAGTCAACATCTCCTAGCCACCCTGATGATGATGATGACAGAGAGAGAGAGACCCACGACCTCCCGCGTACCAGGCGAGGTAGTCAAAATCTCCTAGCCACCATGATGATGATGATGATGACAAGAGAGAGAGAGACATGCAAACTCCTGTAGACCAGGCGAGGTAGTCAACATCTACCTGGCCACCGTGATGATGATGATGATGACAGAGAGAGAGACACGCAAACTCCTGTAGACCAGGCGAGGTAGTCAACATCTACCTGGCCACCGTGATGATGATGAGAGAGACACACAAACTCTAAATATGAATCAGTAGCCGTCATCAGGGTCGGGATCAAACCCACGACCTCCCGCATACCAGGCGAGGTAGTCAACATCTCCTAGCCACCCTGATGATGATGATGATGACAGAGAGAGAGACACACGAACTCCTGCGTACCAGGCGAGGTAGTCAACATCTTTCTGGCCCCCGTGATGGTGATGATGATGACAGAGAGAGACACACAAACTCCTGCGTACCAGGCGAGGTAGTCAACATATCCTAGCCGCCCTGATGATGATGATGGTGAGAGAGAGAGACACACGACCTCCCGCGTACCAGGCGAGGTAGTCAACATCTCCTAGCCACCGTGATGATGATGAGAGAGAGAGAGACACACGACCTTCTGCGTACCAGGCGAGGTAGTCAACATCTCCTAGCCACCGTGATGATGATGATGACAGAGAGAGAGAGACACACGACCTCCCGCATACCAGGCGAGGCAGTCAACATCTTCCCGGCCCCCGCGGTCGTCGTGGCGAGCGAACGTCTCCCCGCCCGCGTCTCTCGCGGCACGACGAGGAGCCAGGCGGAGCGCCGAGCGAACCCAGCGGCGTTGACCGCCAGGCAGGTGTAGCGGCCAGAGTCGTCCACGCTGACGTTACGCAGGTAGAGCAGCTGCGTCGTCTCCACGTCCGAGACCTCCACGCCGACAGTCTTGGCACGGAACGACGGGCGGCACGGAGCGAGCGAGCGAGGGGGGTGAAGAGTCTTGTGTTGCTACCCCCCCAAGCGTGGTTTGTTGTTGCGGTGTTTGGCGTTGCTCAGCGAGCGTGAAGAGTGTAAGCCAAGCGGGGGCTTCTGGGTCCTATTGTGTTGAGAGTGTGGCGTCGGTCTACACTGAGGGTGGGTGAGTGAGTGGGTGGGTGGGTGGGTGAGTGGGTGATTGAGTGGGTGAGTGAGTGGGTGAGTGAGTGGGTGGGTGAGTGGGTGAGTGAGTGGGTGAGTGGGTGGGTGGGTGGGTGAGTGGGTGAGTGAGTGGGTGAGTGAGTGGGTGGGTGGGTGACTGGGTGGGTGAGTGGGTGAGTGAGTGGGTGAGTGAGTGGGTGGGTGAGTGGGTGAGTGAGTGGGTGGGTGGGTGGGTGAGTGGGTGGGTGGGTGAGTGGGCGGGTGAGTGGGTGACTGGGTGGGTGGGTGAGTAGGTGGGTGGGTGAGTGGGCGAGTGAGCGGGTGGGCGTGTGAGCGAGCGGGTGAGCGAGCGAGCGGGTGAGTGAGCGGGTGAGCGGGCGGGTGAGTGGGTGGGTGAGTGAGTGGGTGGGTGGATGGGTGAGCGAGCGGGTGAGCAAGTGAGCGAGCAAGCAAGCGAGTGAGCAAGCGAGCGAACGGGCGAGTGAGTGAGTGAGCGGGCGAGCGAGCGGGCGAGCGAGTGAGTACCCCCGTGCCTCGCCCACTCACCGTGAGGATGCGCACGTAGGGAGAGCCGTTGGGCGCCGCCAGGCTCCCGTTGACCACCACGTGCTTGAGCCACTGCACCGCCCCCGCCCCGTCGCTCTGCAGGACGACGCAGCGTAGCCGAGCGTCGCTCCCCGCCGCCGCCGTCACGTTGGCCGGGAGGCCGTCCCGCAGGGAGGGCCGCTGGGGCTGGCGCCGCTCTGCACGCCGCGAGGGGCGGCGGGGGGTGAGAGACGCGGCGGCGGCCGCAGAGAGAGGGCGGCTCGGCAAGGCGAGGTCATTTACCCTTTTTACCGGGTGAAAGGGTAAAGGTGTCGACATGCCAAGGGGTAAGGTAAAGGGTACAGGGTAAAGGTAGCTCGGAAGAATTACCCGGTAAATACGGTGCCTTGTTTACCGATAAAAGCTCCGTGGCTCAGTGCGTGGCAGAGGTCGCAAACAGGTTTTGATTCCTTACCCGTACCCGGTCGCACCAGGATCGCAAACGGGTACCCGTACCCGTACCCGGCCGGGTACGGGTACGGGTACGGGTACCTGAATACGACCTCTGGGATGAAGCCACGTTGCAGGCGGGTGGGTTGATTCTAGGAAATTGAATTGTGAGAAGAGACAAGACGTTGGGAAGTGAATGACAAACGGTGACTCACCAGTGACTCACGGTCTACCCGTACCCGGCCGCACCAGGGTCGCAAACGGGTACCTGTACCCGGCTGGGTACGGGTAGCCGGGTATCGGGTAGGGTACGGGTATCGGGTAGGGTACGGGTATCGGGTAGGGTACGGGTATCGGGTAGGGTACGGGTATCGGGTAGGGTACGGGTATCGGGTAGGGTACGGGTATCGGGTAGGGTACGGGTATCGGGTAGGGTACGGGTATCGGGTAGGGTACGGGTATCGGGTAGGGTACGGGTATCGGGTAGGGTACGGGTATCGGGTACCCGGTTGCGACCTCTGCCACAGAGAGAGAGAGGGAATAGGTGGGAGGGTCTCGTTAAGAAATGGATTTTGATGTAAACTGCCCCTGATTGAAGGCACTTCATGCCCACGTGATGTGAGAGCCCCCCCCCCCCACGTGATGTGAGAGCCCCCCCCCACGTGATGTGAGAGCCCCCCCCACGTGATGTGAGAGCCCCCCCCCACGTGATGTGAGAGCCCCGCCCACGTGACTTTAATTTTATTGGTTTATTTTTATTATTTTATTTCCCTTCTACGTGACTTTATTTTTATAATTTTATGTTTATTTTTATTATTTTATAACATTGTATTTTTATTATTTTATTATGTTTAATTTTAATGTTTTATTTTTATTATTTTATTTGTATTATTTTAACATGTTTTATTTTTATTATTTTATTGTTTTATTTGTATTATTTTATTGTTTTATTTTTATTATTTTAAAATTGTATTTTATTACGTTTTATTTTTATTATTTTATTACTTCCCTTCTACGTGATGACTTTACCGAAACAAAAAGAACCAAGAATATCAATCCCTGCTGCAGTCACGAAAGCAGCTTCTTTAAATAGAAATTGACGCCACGAAAGCGACGTGACAGTTGGTCACCTTCGAGAGCGGCCGCCAGCACGGACAAGATGGCGGCCATGACCACGAGGAGGAGAGGAGGCCCCAGACGCCGCCTGCTGCTGCTGCTGCAGCTGAGCAGGAGGGGCAAGGAGACGGAGCCTGCGGTGGTGAGTCGTGGTGGTGGTGAGTGTGGTGGTGGATCGTGGTGGTGGTGGATCGTTATGGTGGATCGTGGTGCTGGATCGTGGCGCTGGTGGATCGTGGTGCAGGATCGTGGTGCTGGATCGTGGTGGTGGATCGTGGTGCTGGATCGTGGTGCTGGATCGTGGTGGTGGATCGTGGCGCTGGTGGATCGTGGTGGTGGATCGTGGTGCTGGATCGTGGTGGTGGATCGTGGCGCTGGTGGATCGTGGTGCAGGATCGTGGTGCTGGATCGTGGTGGTGGATCGTGGTGGTGGATCGTGGTGCTGGATCGTGGTGGTGGATCGTGGTGGTGGATCGTGGTGCTGGATCGTGGTGGTGGATCGTGGCGCTGGTGGATCGTGGTGCAGGATCGTGGTGCAGGATCGTGGTGCAGGATCGTGGTGCTGGATCGTGGTGGTGGAGACACATACAGATACACAGAGAGAGACAGAGAGAGAGAGAGACACACAGAGTGATTTTACATTAAATCACTGATTTTAAATGAATTAACTGTGATTTAATTTATCATTGCGATTTTAAATTAAAGCACTGTGATTTTAAATGAATTCACCATGATTTAATTTATCACTGTGATTTTAAAATAATTTACTGTGATTTAATTTATCACTGAGATTTTAAATTAACTCACTGCGATTTAATTAATTTTATATTTTCTACCCACGTGACTTTACCGAAAGAACCAAAGACTATGGACCCCTGCAGTCACGAAAACTTAAAATCCAGAATGTCGCCGCCACATTCACGCAGATAATGTGTAGTGGCGTGTGGTGTGTGGTTGGGAACTCAGGCAAAACCTACTGATTTCACAGGTGACGTTTTTTGACACGAAGTCGTATCAGGTGGGAACTCAAGGCCGGGCTCGTCGCATTTGCAAGTGACCTGGGTCCCCAGTGAGTCACGCGGTGACAGATCGCAGTGGAGAGAGACGGGGGAGGTAGTGCGTTGACGGGCGCTCTACACCACCAGCACCACCACTCGTTGTGGTGTCGACACGTAGACATGCATACCACTCTACTGAATAAGATCTAAGGAGACGTCCATAAATGACGTCACGCACCTGGGGGGGAGGGGGGGGGGTCAGACATTTGTGACGATGTGTGACGAGGGGGGGGGGGGGTGAGAAATGTGACGTCACATCAAAATGCGCAACTTTCAATAAATATATACAACACGTTCTACTTAATTAAATAGACTTTTAATAAATATAGACAACACGTTCAACTTAATTAAATAGACTTTCAATAAATATAGACAACACGTTCAACTTAATTAAATAGACTTTTAATAAATATAGACAACACGTTCAACTTAATTAAATAGACTTTTAATAAATATAGACAACACGTTCTACTTAATTAAATAGACTTTTAATAAATATAGACAACACGTTCTACTTAATTAAATAGACTTTTAATAAATATAGACAACACGTTTAACTTAATTAAATAGACTTTTAATAAATATAGACAACACGTTCAACTTAATTAAATAGACTTTTAATAAATATAGACAACACGTTCTACTTAATTAAATAGACTTTTAATAAATATAGACAACACGTTCTACTTAATTAAATAGACTTTTAATAAATATAGACAACACGTTCTACTTAATTAAATAGACTTTTAATAAATATAGACAACACGTTTAACTTAATTAAATAGACTTTTAATAAATATAGACAACACGTTCAACTTAATTAAATAGACTTTTAATAAATATAGACAACACGTTCTACTTAATTAAATAGACTTTTAATAAATATAGACAACACGTTCTACTTAATTAAATAGACTTTTAATAAATATAGACAACACGTTCTACTTAATTAAATAGACTTTTAATAAATATAGACAACACGTTTAACTTAATTAAATAGACTTTTAATAAATATAGACAACACGTTCAACTTAATTAAATAGACTTTTAATAAATATAGACAACACGTTCTACTTAATTAAATAGACTTTTAATAAATATAGACAACACGTTCTACTTAATTAAATAGACTTTTAATAAATATAGACAACACGTTTAACTTAATTAAATAGACTTTTAATAAATATAGACAACACGTTCAACTTAATTAAATAGACTTTTAATAAATATAGACAACACGTTCTACTTAATTAAATAGACTTTTAATAAATATAGACAACACGTTTAACTTAATTAAATAGACTTTTAATAAATATAGACAACACGTTCACTTAATTAAATAGACTTTTAATAAATATAGACAACACGTTCTACTTAATTAAATAGACTTTTAATAAATATAGACAACACGTTCTACTTAATTAAATAGACTTTTAATAAATATAGACAACACGTTCTACTTAATTAAATAGACTTTTAATAAATATAGACAACACGTTTAACTTAATTAAATAGACTTTTAATAAATATAGACAACACGTTCAACTTAATTAAATAGACTTTTAATAAATATAGACAACACGTTCAACTTAATTAAATAGACTTTTAATAAATATAGACAACACGTTCTACTTAATTAAATAGACTTTTAATAAATATAGACAACACGTTCTACTTAATTAAATAGACTTTTAATAAATATAGACAACACGTTCTACTTAATTAAATAGACTTTAATAAATATAGACAACACGTTTAACTTAATTAAATAGACTTTTAATAAATATAGACAACACGTTCAACTTAATTAAATAGACTTTTAATAAATATAGACAACACGTTCTACTTAATTAAATAGACTTTTAATAAATATAGACAACACGTTCTACTTAATTAAATAGACTTTTTATTAAATCTTTTCTACAACATCAGAGTGCAGCGCCACATTAATTAAGCACGACAATGACAATAGTTTTCAGCGATTTAAAGCATGTTTTTTGTTTTGGGGGGGGGGGCAGAGCTTTGTAACGTCACATTTGAGGGGGGAGGGGGTCAGACATTTGTGACGATGTGTGACGAGGGGGGGGGGGAGTTTGAGAAATGTGACGTCACATCAAAATGCACAACTTTTAATAAATATAAACAACACGTTCTACTTAATTAAATAGACTTTGTAATGAATGTTTTCTACAACATCAGAGTGCAGCGCCATATTAAATATGCACTACAATGACAATAGTTTTCTGCGATTTAAAGCATGTTTAATATTTTCTTTTGGGGGGGGGGGGGCAGAGCTTTGTGACGTCATATTTGAGGGGGGGGGTCTGACTTTTTGTGACGCTGTGTGACAAAGGGGGGGGGGGGGGTCAAAAATCGTCCAAAATCGCGTGACGTTGGAGAAAATATTTATTAAAAAGTCTATTTAATTAAGTAGAACATGTTGTCTATCTATCTTCTATCTTACCTATAAACGTCACTTTTTGTCTGTCTGTCCGTCTGTCTGTCCGTCTGTCTGTCTGCGTACGCTCGCTTCCGGGGGATTTAGCTCTCGGACCGTGAGGTTCGCCGAGATTAAATTTTGCAGGTGGGCACGCCCCCGGCCCGCGGTAAACTTAGGCATTTCCGATTTTTCGTCCGTCGCCTTTAAATCGGTCCGATTATCGATTTAGTGCGATTTCTCTTTATTTATTTACTATTGCCGACCGGCGCGTGACGAAGCACGCCGTTGCGCATGCGCGAGAAGCCGACCACGGCGGTTGCCCCTGGCAATGGGCAGCAACGCCGTCGCTGCGGGGTGGACGCCATTTTTAATTCCCGTTAAAAATATGCACACGCATTAACACGCGACGCTGAGGTAAATACATCAAAGTTTCACGTCCTCTTCACTCCCCCCCCACTCCAGTGCGCGCAATTACTATTATAGGGTCTGTAGATAATACAATTATAGCGATTAGACAGTATTATTCTAGCGCGGAGTGGGGGGGGCCCATTACCTTAGTATCTGTGTATATATGTAAGGTTATTAAGAAATATATTTTTCACCCGGGCAACGCCAGGTACTTCTGCTATCTCTTCTTATTTATAAAAGTCTCCGTGCGCTCGCGCTTGCGGGGGATTTGGCTCTCGGACGGTGGGGTTTAAGACCGAAATAATCTGCCGGCCGGCACGCCCTAAGCCCCGTGGTGGGAATAGTCTATTCCGTTTTTACATCCGTAAACTTTAAAGTAGTTTAATTAACACATTTGTGCCGTTTCTATTATTCATTATTTACTTATTGCACGACATCGACCGTACCAACTGACGGCAATTGCGTGGGGGGGATGGACCCTACCAAGTGCTGCGCGTTCGCTCGAGCTCACGGGGGACATTTCTTTTTTCGCGTTTTACAGGCAACACGTACACACATGACGCTGCGGACATTTCTTCACAGTGTCATGTCCTCTTCGCCCCCCCCCCCAACACGATGCGTCCAGTTTATACTACAGACTCCGTAGATAATAATATTTTACTGCTTACATACCATTATTCTTGCACGGCCGGGGGATGCTGGGGAGGGGGGGGGTAGCGGCCCAGCCCCTAGCCTGGCAACGTGCCAACTCCGCCGCCTCGCCAATCTAGGCTAAGCATGGCACAAGGCCTCAACACGCCTATGGTAAGTACAGAGTTCCTTGCTTCTTACGCTAACAACTCAAGCCCATTGTTTACTATTGTTAAACACATTAGTTTACAAACATTACAATAATAATGTTTGTGTGCAGATAAAAACTCAGCTTCATTGTTTACCAATATGAAACAAGTTCAAAGATGTTACAATAATTATGTTTGCGTGAAGATAACAACTCGGGTTCATTGTTTACCATCATGAAACGAGTTGACATGTTACAATAATTATGTTTGTGTGCACAAAACTCTTTTTGGATTTTTGGGTTGCTCAATTTCCCCTTTTTTGCTGCGCTTTTATAACGCTGCCACGGTCTACTGCCAGTCTGTGATTTCTGCTTATTTCTTAAATGCATTTCTATTGTTTCCATCGCTCACGTCACGCTATTTACTCATACGTAGTACTGCGATACTGATAGCTGTGCCATCATCGGGGATTGCTGTGCCTGTCGATGTGTGTGTGTGTGTGA